ACACCGCACACCGCACACCGCACACCGCACGCACACACCCGCACATGCCACACACCCGCTCAGTCGCTCAACTCGAGCCCACTTCGTCACCCTCATCCTCCTTCTCGTCATCGGCCAGCGCTCAGAGCCTCATAGCAGTCCCATCGCATCATCCGATAGAGCCACGTCCCAAGCATATTCATCGATACCCTTCTCCAACCAGCAAGCATCTCAACCACCGGCAGCAGCACACAGTGCCCATCAAGCACAGCTCCGTATCCTCACGACCAGCCATCACTCCAACGTATGGTCTTCTAACGACCGCCGTCACCTTGGCGCAGAGCAGCCCACATCCGCGCTCATGGACGTTCCCACCCTCAACGTCGCCGCGCCCGTGTTCACCCCGGGCGCAGGCGCACGTTCCAATGCTCCCCCAGTCGCTAGAGAGCCCTCGCCGATGCGCTCATCCTCCTCAGCTTCTGGTCAAGACACTCCCGTTCGCGATCAGCGCCCATCATTGCATTCTAACATGGTTGGTGTCCAGCATATTCTTGCCCCTCTGCGGTTTGCGCTTGGCTCATGCTGACAACTTTTCCACATGTTCTCATCTTTCCTCCCACTAGCTCTCACAGATTCAGAACCAGATGACTCCTGGCGGTGGTGTGCCAGGCGGCATGGTCCACATGAACGCCGCCTCTCGGCCCTTTGTCCCCGGCGGCGCCGCGCCTCTCTACAAGCAAGAAGTTCCCGTCACGCCGCATCATTCGGCGCCGCCTCCGACCAATGGCTTCAGCCGCTCCCCGCTCGCCGGCCACGCCCTCGCCCATGGCTTGAATCCAGGCAGTGTCCAGCTCACTGGTCTGCCCGCCTTCCTCGCAACGCCGCCAATCATGACCAATCCTCCTTATAACTCGGCATACCCAGCTGGCCCACCCTCGCCCATCTCACCTGGCGCCTCCGTGCCCCCGAGTCCATTTGCCATGTCTCACCCACCGAACGCGCTCGGTCTTCCACGCCAAGGTCCTCCCATGGGCGCAAATATGAACGCCAGGAGAGGCAGAGGTCCGCAGCCCGTCACTCCCCTCAAGTCGTCCGGACACAATTCTACGCCGTCCATATCCATGAACCCCGCCGCCTTTGCAGCCAACCTTGCCGCACTCAAGGCCAAGAAGAAGGTCGTCGTTTCCATCCCAAACGAGAAACCCTTGCCAGACGATTCGGCGCTCATCTCACAGCACGACTGCCAGTCGCTCAACAGCTCGCCAGACTTCAACCGAGACGACCAGGAACCGAGCTCAAGCACCGAAGCCGTCAAGCTGCGTCACGCTCTCGCCGCCGCCCAGACTCGTAACAAATGGATCTTGCGTCAGCCATGGACTCGCGATCTTCACGATCAAGTGCCCTGCCTCGACGTCCCGCAAGATGCAATCATCACGTGCGCCGTGCACCCCGAGCCTTGGCCACACTCCTTGGGCTTGCCGGACACCATCGAGATCTACCTTCCAGGCCAGAGCGCCTGGGACGAGTACCAAGAGCAGCGCTACGAGGAGCAGCAACTCGAGGCCGAGGCAGCTGCCTTGGAGCAGCAGCAGCTACAGCTAAACGTGGTGCCTTTGCTACAACCCAAGCCGCTCCTGCCGTCGGAACTCGCCATCTTCGCTCCGGACCACGAGATCCGCAGCTTCTCCATCTCCACTCCCGCCGATCCCAACATGGTCTCCTTCAAGCTCAACCGCTTCCTCCAATCGCAGCATGCCGACTCCGCCGCTGCAAACGACGCAAGCGGCGCTCAGGCTCTCAAGGACGAGCCAGGGCCATTTGCCCGCCTCAATTCCGATCTGCCTAGTCGACTGCGCGAGGCTTTTGCCCGCCGCCGCGGGGAGAGTACAGACATCAGCCTCCGCCCGCCCACGTCCAAGCATGGCCACACCATGTCGCTTGGCTTGCCCAGCTCAGGCGGTCCATTTGGCCCCGAGGTCTTCAGCGCTCTCGACTTGATTCGCGCCAACTCGGACCAAGGACCCTCCCAGCCTCCGTCCGACACTCACGATGCTGAGATGCCCTTGTCCGACTCGGAAGTCATGGCTCCGAGGGCACCATTCCTAGCCGAGATTGCCGAGGATGACGCAGAAGAAGAAGACGCCAACGCTGCAAACGCAGGAGCATCGTCAAAGCCCTCAGGCAGCGGAAACTGGAAGGATCTCGGCAGAGGCTTTGGATACGAAGTCGAGCCCAATGCGCAGGCTTCCACTAGCAACGGAAAGGCTCGATCACATGCGCGCCAGACATCCAGAATCTCGGTCAGCACCTCGCGTCGAGGCGGCCAAGACAGCGACGAGCTGCTCTCGGACGGCGAGGACCTCGAGATCCGCACCAACCCAAGCGAGGACGCCGACGCCTCGGACTTTGAGGAGGATGTGGGCGAGTATGGGGAGGAACACTGGCACGCTCGTCGCGCCAGCGCACACCTCTCTGCCTTTGGCGACGCTCACGGCCGCCACGGCTTTGGCAGCGTCTCGGGCGCGAGCGACGACGACAGCCTGCGCGACTCTCTCACGCCGTCGGACGAGCAGTTCAGCAATCCTTCGGATGAAGAGGCGGCTCGCGAGGAGAGGATGCTGCGCCGACAGCATCGCGCAGCAGAGCGAGCGGCTCGCCAGGAGCGCAAGGCCCGTCTCCGAGCACGCGCCAACACTGACAACACACTCCCTAGCAGCAGCATTGGCGAGGCCGATCTGTACGAGAACGGTCGCTACGACTCGGATGGCGACCATGCTGATGCACAGCGTCACGACAGGGCACGGCGCCGTGACCTTGATGACATTGTCAGCAATCCGTCCGACGAGGTGCACTCCGACTTCAATGGTACCGAGACGTTTGGACACACGCACCGCCATGGTCGCAATGACGACAGCCCTCGTCTCAGTCAGGACTTCCGGTTCCCACCGCCCAAACCGACGAGACCGAACGCATCGCAGCCTCGTTCCAGCAATGGTCCGACAATGTCAGGAACCCTCGGTCGCGCTGCGGGCTCGTCCATGCTGAATCCAGGCGCCAAAGAGTTCACGTTCGGTGGCGTTGCCAGTGCAAGCGCGGGAACAAGGGCGGTCTCAGCGCCAGTGTCCAACGGCCAGGATGCCGGTGCACACTTCCGCCTGCCCAGCATCAAGACTTCGAGCTTTGGATCGAGCGCGCTCGGCGAGGCGGCTTCCCATGCTCCCCATCTCAATGTTGGTGCGCCTTCGTTCACGCCTGGAGCATTCACATTCAAGGCTCCCGACGGCGTCCGCCTCGAGCTGCCAAGTGCCACGCGTTCTGCTGCGACAGGCACCGACGCGGGCGCAGAGGACGACCGCACGGCGCAGCGCGAAAGGCAAGGACGCGAGAAACGCACCCGCTACGGCCCCATCGACTATGCCAGCGAGGACGAGCATGACGCAGCATACAGCACAAGCCCACCCCGACCCAAGGCTTCGGCTGCGAGCATCGAGGGCCCTCTGCGCAGCTTCAGCACGCTGTCTAGGCAGGGCCCTCCACCCTTTCTGCCACCCAACTTCCAGCAGCAGCAGCAGCAGCAGCAGCAG